ATACAGTCTCAAATTTAAAACAGGAAAGTTTTAAGCCCTGATTGAAAAGAACTAAGAGTTGTAGAAGTTTCGTGCTCCCTTCTGTGCTCCAGATATGTGATGCATAAAAACTGAACACTGCTTTTCCATGTTTAGTTTTGACTATGGTGACAGTAATCAGATCTGTCCTAAATTATCTGAGTGGTCTGGACAGTTCATAACGGAGCAGCAGATCAGAATTATATTTTGGCCCTAGACCATTCAGTGCAAGGAGCCAGTGCAAAGATCAGAGAACTGGACTGATCTGTTCCACCTTCTTTGTCTTTGTGAGGACTCTAGCAGCCATATTTTGCAACAGCAGCAGTTTCCTGATCGACTCTGTAGAGAAACCTGTAAGGTCAGCATTAGAGAAATCAAGCCTACTTAAGATAAAAGCATTTTAAAAACAGCACATTTTTCTAAAAATGTGCATTTTTCTAAATCCTGCTGAGACATAAGTCCTTTCATTCTTGATATATTCTCAATGCTGATTGTGTAATTGTCTTAATGTGGATGTTAACATTTAGGTCCACTGGTAGCAACTGAAGATGAACACTGACCTTTTGGAAATTTTCTGTGAAGGAAGTTTTAAAACATCCAGTTATCGATTTGTTCAGTGCACGTAGTCAGTGGTTGTATGGCACCTTAGTCTTGTGATGTTGTGATATTAAATATTTGTGTCATCTGTATAGTTATGGATTTTATTGTTTTCCATAACCTGCGTTAGTGGGAGCAGGTAGATGTTAAAGGAAAACTCAGCCATTTAAGTCACATGAGATGTTGTTTTAAATGAGTGTATAATTAGACTGAAGTGCTGATTTAACCGTAATTTATATGCTGTTGTTCCAGAGAGATGTTGCTGCTGGTGTTGGGAGCCCTCCTCCTGCTCTTCTGCAGTCTGGATGTATGGTACTTCCTACGGGGGGCCCAGGTGTTCATCCAGGCATGGTTCCAACCCAGAATATGGGACATTCTAGCCGAGCAAAGCATTGATGGCATGGTCCTTCCCCATGATTTGGACTACATGGGCCACATGAACAACTCTCGTTACCTGAGAGAGTGTGACTTTGCTCGCTTCCACCATTACATGCGAAACGGGCTGTTCATGGCCTCACGCAAACTGGGGGCCAAAATGGTGGTAGGGGCTTCCACCATCCGGTACCGGCGCTCCTTGGCCTTCCGTGAGGCTTTTGAGATTCGGACCAAAGTAGTGGGATGGGATGAGAAGGCCTTTTACTTGGAGCAGCGCTTTGTGTCTAAGAAAGATGGATTCGTATCTGCGGTCATGCTCTGCAGGCAGAATGTGGTGCACTGCAGCCCAGAGAGGATTATCGAGTTTGTCTGCAAAAGGAAGGTGAGTGATAGCAGAAGACGTAAAGTATCGGTATGACTGTGGGAGGCCTGCAACTAACAATTATTTTCATTAGCGATGAATCTACTGATTATTTTTTTATTCAATCGTTTTGTGTGGTCAATAACACAAAAAAATGCCCATTGTAATGTCTTGAATTCCAATGTGATGATATCTAAATGTTGGTTTTCCCCGAACAATACTCAAAAACTTAAAAATATTCTTTTTGCTATTGAATGGAACAAACAAATACAACAATCCGCATAGTTGAGAAGCTGAACTAAGAAAATATTTTCGTTCGAAAAATTACTTGAAGGATTAATTGATTATCAAAATATTTGCTGATTATTTTTCCATTGATGGATTTATCAACTAATTTCATTTCAGGTCTCCCTGCATTTATTTTCATTACTGACTAATGATATTCTTTTCTTGATAATTCAGGTAATCGCTAGGTCTAGGGCTGCAATTAACAATTATTTTCCTTACTGATTAATCTGATGATTGTGATTGTTTGATTTATCAAACATCAGAACAGTGAAAAATGCCCATCACACTTCCCTAGAGTACAAAGTGGTGATATTAAAAGTCTGTCTGATATTTCAAAACCCCAAAATATTAAAATTTCTATAATGTAAGAGAAAGAATTGCAACATATTGGGAACCTGGAACTATAAAATCCTTGTCATTTTTGCTTGAAAAATCATTGCAGCTCTAAGTCTATAAGGCCGAATGTGGCGTCTTTAAATGTGCTGTGTCTGACAACTGTTCAAAACCCCAAAATATTTGATTTCTGATCATCCAAGATAAAGAAAAGCATCAAATCATCACATTTGAGAAGCCTAAACCTGGGAATGTAATGCATTTTTGCTTTTAAAAAAAAAAAACAACAAGAAAAAAACGATTAATTTATCAAAATTATTGCCATGTAATTGTCAGCTATTAGTTTGTGATCTAGACTGTAGCTTTTTTCTACTGCAGCATTCTGCTAACTTTTGTGGTTGTGTGTGCAGATCGAGTGCCCAGAGTTTCCTGAGGACCTCAAACACTGGATCAGCTTCATTTCAGCCAGCAGTCAGGCACTGAGAGCGGAGAGCGGACTGGAAGAGAAGAACAAGTGAAGCCACACCATGAACCCATGTATCATGAGTGTAGACACATATCATTTGTATTGCACGCACATATACAATATACATCCATACATACATGCATACAAACAGTTAAACATTGTAGAGTTTTAGTTGACAGACACGATTCCACTTTCTGTTATGGGTCAATCCTACCTGCTGTGTATTTTTGTATGATGTGAACTCAAGTACTGGACTAAGAACAGCTGAAAACTTGAACTATAAGGTATTCCTTGTTTTAAATGCACTTATGCACTGAGATCATAATGAAAGTTGTTCTCTCCGACGAAAGTGAAACAAAAACGTAGCTTTATCCTTACGGCTTATTCAGTAGTTGACTGTGAATAGACTGGCTTTAGACATCTTCATTCTCATTTAGCAAAATCGTCTAACTTCAGATAAGCATGTAGAGCAAAAGTTACTCTTCCACTGACATCAATGCATGTTTTGAAACAACCAGAATAATTTTTGTGCCTGTTTCTCTTGATTAGTCGTAGTTTACAGTTATAATTTCAGGGAATTATAACTTTTTTTGAAAAAAAAAAACATACAGTAGGTTTGATGAAATGCTTGAATGGACATCATGAACATATAATGACAATTAGTTTTAATCTCCCCATCAGCGTTTTGCACAAAGTAACCCAAGTGAGTAAACAACCTGAACTCTTGTTGAAAATTTGAGAGGGAATATTTGTTTTAGAGGGACCCTTTTCAGTACAGTATTGTTCTTTTACCAAATTTATAATACATGCATTTAAAGGGTGGGCTTCTTGATTGGAGTTGCATTTGATTTTAGGAGAAATTGCTCAAATCCAACTTGACAGGCATGATAAGAAAAGGTTAATTCTGTATGAGGTTGCTGGCAACTTTTCAAAAACTTGCAGCGCACTATAAACACTGAATGTTTGGATGATACTTGGTTTTTATTTAGACGGCCTTTTAAAATGTGGGACCTTCCTTTTAATGCATAAAAGCTTTAGTTTGTGACCAAAGTAATGTATTGTTCTGTAAGAAGAGGAAACAAATTTTTAAAGATGTACTGTGTGTCTAACCTGTTATTTATGTTGTCAATGCACAGAATCCTATTTAATTCCTTTAAGTTTGAAGATATGTGTTGTCCTTTTTATTTTCCACTTGGATTATTGTACCAGACTTCATTTATTGTGTTTGTTAATTATTTAATGGCATTTTAAATTAAAAATGCATTGGAAACTATGTTCAGCCTGTCATTATAAGTGCTTGTTGTTCAGTAAAAACCTGAATTTCTGATGAACTGTGGTTGGTGGTCCTATGTTGAATATAAATCTGCAACAAAATAACTATTTTGATAATTGATTAAGTCATTTTGATGAAGATATCCTACTCTGCCCTATTTAATATTGTTATAAATTTAATATTTTGGGGGTTTTGACTGTTGGTCAGATAAAACAAGAAGTCACCTTGGATTCTGAGGAACTTGAATGGATAAATTTGAGACAATAATTTCACCCCTAATTGAATATAGACCAGGTCAACTGTATATATAGTAGTTAAATTGGCTCTACCTAAACAAGCTACAAGATTAAAATGCTTTTACAAATTAAGACATCAGTATAATAATATTTCTTTGGAATAGCCCATTCTGGATACTTGTATTCTTATTGGTTTCAGTATATTACTTTTGCTGTTGATACCTCTATATTTTTTCCTTGATGAAATTTTAGATTATTTTACTTGCACTATTTTTTTTTTAGATCAGAGAAAATTCAGGAAAAAAACAGATTTGTGTTGCAGAACTTAGGTTTTTCTTCTTTCCTCTCTCAATTGTCTCACAACCCCTCAGATTTATCTGATGACACCCTTGGAGGGGTCCAACCCCAAGATTGGTAACCTCAGTGCAGTAGCCAAGAACTACAACTACCTCTTATTTTCATCATCAGTTAAGGTGCTGACTGCTGAAGTGCCAAATCCTGACATTTGAGAAACTAGAACATGCAAATGTTTGACTTTTTTGCTTGAAGATGGATTAAACATTTGATCAATTATCAAAATAGTTGCCGATTCATTTTTTGTTGATTGATTAATCAAATAATCATTGCAGCTCTGAAGTACAGTAGTTTAAACGAGTTCCACCTCCAGCTGCTACAACTGTAAAATCCTGCTTACACATTGATACATCAGAATAATGTAAAAAAAAAAAAAAAAAAAAAAAGGGCCGTTGTTCTAAGAAACAAAACTTATACTTTAATAATTTAAACTATATTTTCATTGGAAAATGTCTTACATTGTAGTATTATCACTTTTAATTAAGTAAAAGTACTCCCCCCTCTATTGCGTATACATAACATATAGCCTACACAGATACTCAAAACACAAAAAATAAATATATGTGTAAAAATTAGTTATTACAATTAAATATCAAATGACAATTAAGTTACATTATTTTGAAAGTTGGGGTTTTTTAATAATTAAAGTCCCCTGCTACCGGTTCCGGTGACGCCCCCTGCTTTTCACTTCCTGTAAACAAAGCAGCAGCTGTTGTCACATTCCTGTATTTTCGCTGATTTTCTGCCTCTACTTCTGCGTTATCGACGATGGCTCAGGCCGGAGTGGTCCTGGACAAGGACCAGTTTAACTGCCCGATATGTCTGGATGTAATGAAGGACCCTGTGACCATCCCCTGTGGACACAGTTACTGCTGTGAATGTATCCAGGACTACTGGGACCAGGACGACTACCTGGGGATCTTCGTCTGTCCGCAGTGCCGGCAGAACTTCAGCCCGAGGCCGGCGCTTGCCAGAAACACCATGCTGGCTGATGTGGTAGAGAAATTCAAAAAGACCGGACTCCAAGAGGACACGATGTCCGCGAACCAAAGCTTTGCCGAGGCTGACGACGTGGAGTGCGACGTCTGTACCGGGAGGAAAAACAAGGCTGTCAAATCCTGTCTGGTGTGTTTGGCCTCCTACTGCGACGTTCACGTCCAGCCTCACTATGAGTCTGCCGCTTTCAAGAAACACAAGCTGGTGTCGGCCTCCAAAAAGCTCCAGGAGACGATTTGTCCCCGACATGACAAGCTGCTGGAGGTGTACTGCCGCACCGACAAACAGTGCATCTGTTACCTGTGCCTGACAGATGAACACAAAGGGCACGACACGGTCCTAGCTGAGGCGGAGATACAGCAGAAGCAGGTAATCAAATCCTCTGATTGATTCAATGCAAGGCGATTGTAGCACTGTAACATGTTGGTTTAATTCAGCCCTGGGCCCGTTTTTATCAAACTGCTAAGTTAAATATTCAAAATCCTTCAATTTCACTCCTATTCTCAAACTTAAGGAGAAAAACTGCTGGTACCACATTCAGATAAAGCACCATTTCTAAGGGGTTTATAATCTGTAATCAATGGCTTTATTAATAGTTAATACATAATTTACCAATGCGTTAAAGATCAGTTATTGGAACAACCGGTTTTCAGATTATGAAAGCACCTTTCTTGTCTTTTTAGCTCTTCAATTTATTAAAGAGCCTCCTCATTTCACAAACTGCTTCTTAATATTTATAACTGCAAATTGAATGGACTTTAGAACCTTTAATTAATGATTTATTAACATTTATAACTGAAAAAACATGTTTTACTGACATCTGCATTATTACTGAATAGAAACACACAGATATGTTTTTACCAAAACATTTGATTTAAACATGGCACATTCATCCAACTATGTTTTTATTTAGACAACAATACAGGAACTTCTGAATTTAAGAATGGGATAAAAATATGTGGGAGTAGGGAAATACCTGTAACAGTGGTCCCTAAGCACAAAGCTAGACCTTTTCGTTTTATCATTGGTGCTTTCACCTCTAGGCCACCAGAGGGCCCCCAATTTAAAGGTTTAATAAACTCAATCTGATGTTGAACAGTCTCTGTGTTCATTGAGACCAGGATTGACATGTCTGAGTGTATTAGATTTAAATCTTAACCTGGTCTAATGTAGTCTGGCTGGAGAAAAAACAATGAAATCACCTTTCTTTTTTCATGTCTTTAGAGTTTCCCTGTTAATCTAGTACATGTTAGACAAGGTAAGTACAGTAGTCACTGAACTAGATCTGAACTGATGTGGTCTGGATGGAGGAAAATAGAGAAATTGCTGTTTCTTTTGTTTTTAAAGTAGATTAAAAGTTTCATAAAAAATTTAAGCAGTGAATTCACCTTTTTTTCTGTTTTTACAAATAGCTTTCAATATAATAATCTAGTTCAGGTTTGACATACAGTGATTTTTGATTTAGCCTAGTCTTAAGTGCTGCAACAACTTGGAATCAGCTGATATTATCAAAAGAAAACGTCATCCTCAGCACATTTAGGAACATGTTGTGAATTAGGAACTTAATGATCTACACATGGACACAATAGCATGAACGTGTGCACAATCCAATGCAAGAGGTAGCCTTTGTATGTGTTAACCCTGTGATATAATCACTAAGATGCTCCAATTTCTTATTTTCACTACGTTTTTCCTCAGCGGCAGCTCGGTGACATGAAGCAGAGCTCTCAGCTGAAAATTCAGCTCAGAGAAAAGGAGGCACAGGAGCTGAGACAAGCCATTTTCTCTCTCACTGTAAGTGCTAACACCCAGTTTGGTCTGATATATAAATGCAACAGATCACTATACAGATTACAAAATGCCTCACTTCCTTCATACTGCTCTAAACAGTTCATAATTTGACATTTTTGCTGACATTACAACTGCCTTACTCTGTCAACTGCAAACATTTTCTTGTGACAGTAAAACATATGAGAACCTGTGTTCGCTTTGTGTCTCCCTCTAGCGCTCTGCTCGGGCAGCATCTGAAGAAAGCGACACCGTCTTCACTGAACTGATTCGGTCGATCGAGCTGAAACGTTTTGAGGTGAGAGAGCTGATCAAAGCGCAGGAAAAGACAGCCATCAGTCAGGCTGAGCAGCTGCTGGACAAGATCCAGAAGGAGATCACTGAGCTGAAGAAGAGTGAGGCTGAACTGGAAAAACTTTCCCACACTGAGGACCACGTCCATTTCCTTCAGGTAACATCACTCAGATTTATTTGTTTTTTTTTCAGATCTTCGGGACAGAAACTCAGCGACTTAGATACACACATCAGACTTCATTCCCTCTTGGTCTCTGTGTTTGTGAATCCAGAGTTGTCAGTCTCTCCGTGCTCCACCTGTGCTGTCAGCTTTGCCTTCAGTCACCGTTGACCCCAACCTCACCTTTGGCCCAGTGATGACAGCTGTGTCAGATTTTAAAGTACTGTTGCAGGAGGTCTGCCAGGGAGGATTTGTCAACATCTACGAGAAAGGTAGACACAAGTGTTGGCGTTCTTATCCGGTATGAACGATTCTGTCATCTCTGTTTATGTGATTTTTTTTTTCTGTCTTTGATTTGTAGTGAGGGACGTAGTGATTGTAGGTTCTTCAAATGCTGCTGCACAGATAGACACAACCCTGTCTGGTGATTCTGGATCAGCCGTACAAATGGATGCAACAGTAGGTGAGTCCAACCCTAACTCTTAATACATATACACCGTTTTTCTGTTCTTGCCATCTAAGAGTTTTGTGGTGGGAGGTGGAGCAGTAGAGCTGCATCTTACAATTATTTTCATTATTGATTAATCTGTCTATTGTTTTTTTGTAAATCACTTAGTCTATAAAATATTATAAAATAGTAAAAAAACACTTGTGTCACTTTTCTCAAAAAAGGCATTAAAGAGCATTAGATAGTTTTACATTTCATTTACAAAAGGTCTAATAATAATAATATTTTTTCAAGCCTGTCTTAGGTAGTAACACTACTTATAAAATATTTTCAGCAGAAACTACTAGAGTAAAATTCATATGCAGACCTTCAAATAATAATGTTTTCATTGGTTAATCCGTCCATCCATTTTCTGCTGCTTATGCAGGTCCAGCATCTATTTAATGATTAATTGTTGATATTATTGGGAATCACTGTTATATACAGCTGAGAGGAACTGACAAATATTATAATATGACAATTATTGATATAAATATCATTAAATGTATGTATGTACTTGGTAAATTATTCTAGACTTTATCATCTATACTGATTTTATTGATATCTTTCATACTTAGACCGAAGTGACTGTGAAACAGGTATTAACCTGCGTTCTATGTGGTATTAAGTCTTAAATATAATTTTGTGAACTCTGTGGGACTCTAACCACATTATCCTGCAGCACAAACACCTTACCCATCTTGGTTGTTTGTAGTTAGAGGTTGCTGAATCTGCACCAGTGGAAAGATGACACTTTGGACAACTGAGACTCTTCACTAACAGCGTTTGTTCTTTTTTTGCTTGCAGTGGGCCCTCCACTTTGCCTCAACCCTTTCCTCACTCAGGGAGCTGCTCTGCCCACGTTTGCCTTCTCACCATTTGGTAAATAGACAAACAGACAGACATTATCAAAAATAAAATGTATTCCATGGTAAAGTACTGTATAGAGTTAATTTTACACAAGCAAACCCAATGCAAGGCATATTGCAAATGTTACCATTTGGTGACAGAAAGAATTCAACAAATTCAGTATCTACAATATGTAGATATTATATGTTTTGTATCTAGAAAATCTGTATCTGCAAAGTAACTAGTAAGTGTATCTGTCAGTACAGTACAAGATTTGCATGAAACATGTAGTGAGGTAAGGTATAAAGTACAAGTACCTCAAAATTAGTATGTACTTATTTTTTTAATTTTATGTAGATGTCATCTTTTAAAATCACATTTACCTTTAGACTTCTAGTCTGGCTGTAAGAACTCTTAAAGACTACCTGAAGATCTTCAGATTTTCAGATTTTTATGGCCATGTGTTTGCAATAAATCAGAAGATTTGAGATTACATTAAATTCAAGTTCAGTGTATTTTTTGACATGGATATGTTACTTTGAGTGATTGCATCTGTCTCACCTTGTCGAAACAGCTCTACCTCAGTTGCCTCCTCTGTTTTTTTCTGTGCATGTTGAGTTTATAAATGTTGAACATTGGGATTTTCACATGTTCATGTAAACATTAAGAAAACTTGCATTATTTTATATGACGCTAACAGCTTAGGAAACACTGCAGTCGGATGAGTGGTAGATATTTAAAACTGGTATCTCTTTGAAAGGTAATTTATTGTTTTCTTATGTAGTCTTAAGCTGACATGTGGTGTATGTGGTTTTATTTATAATATTGTAGGTGCTGACCTCACAACCTTATAACATTGCATATTACTAGAACTGGTTGGCTATACCACCTGTCTTTACTGTCCAGCACAGATTACGTACAGAAACGTATTTGTTAGGTCTGCTCTAACATGTCATCATAGTCCCCAACGTTTCTTACAGTGCCGTAGACTAATAATTCCTCCTCTGTCTGCTCAGGCACCAAACTCTCCTCAGGATCCAGATCGAGGCACCTTCAGCGACGCGCTCACCCCAGGAGGAAATAGACTTCTACCAGCATTTCACATGCACCTACACGGCCTGAATGTCATTTTACTTAACTACTCTCCCCTCCTTTTCCTCTCACAAATATGTACTGACACGCATGAATTATTATCATCTTTTGACATTCATTTAAGTTAAGTTTTCACCAATAAGCTATACTTGCATCTTGCAGTATAGTGCAGGTGGAAAAGAGATGAAGAAAGCATTTGTAAGCTGAAGACCAATCAATGACAATGCATTTAATTTAAGTATTAAGCAGCACAAATCCGGATTTAACTCGCTATATCTTACTTCAGTACTTGCAAGGAAATTGCTTTGAAATGTATTAAAGTTTTAGTTTTGATTAAGCTATGCTTTTATAAACATTTTTCATTTTTTTAACCTCTGTTAACAATCATTTTGCTTGACATGTGTGTAATAATATATTGTGATTTATGACATTCTGACATTAAAAAGCAAACACACTTGTACAAAGTAAATGTTCTGAGAGGTTGTGTTTATTTCCATGGGGGGTGTAGAAGTGGGATAACAGGTTGACAACAACACTGCAGCTCTTTTGTGTAAAATGTTACATGTCAAATAATACTCACAGGTCAATGCATCTAATATGAATTTACTGAATGCATACTCAGGAGAGGTGGTTCAATACAAGGTTGTTCTTTCCTCAGTTTGCTTTATCTGGGTCAGCCTATTTCCTTGTTTTGCGGGCTGTGATTGGAGGCTTCAGGGTGCAGCAGGTGAAACCTGAGTAGCTGTTATTACCACACCTGTGAGCTACGCCCCTCTTTGTTCCTTCCAGTGTCTGTGGAGTTTGTAGGAAATGGCAGCAGCAACTATTTCTATTGAACAAGACCAATTTTGTTGTCCAGTTTGCCTGGAGGTTTTGAGAGACCCGGTGACGATCCCCTGTGGACATACTTACTGTTTGGACTGTATAGAAGACTACTGGAACCGGACCAAGCAGAAAGACCAGTACAGCTGCCCTCAGTGCAGGCAGGTGTTTAATCCCAGACCACTGCTGAGTAGAAACACAGTTTTGGGTGAAGTATTGGAAAAGCTTCAGCGAACTGGATTTCAAGCTGCAGCTCAGCACTTGGCGAAACCTGAGGAAGTGAAATGCAGTGCTTGTACGGGGAGAAAGAGCAAAGCTGTCAAATCCTGTCTTGTGTGCTTGGAGTCTTACTGTGTGGCTCACTTAAGAGTCCACGAAGAACGCTTTCATGGAAAGGTCCATAAACTGATCCCAGCTTCAGATCAGCTTAGAGAGAAGCTGTGTCCAGAGCACAACAAATTAATGAGGCTGTACTGTCGCACTGACCAGCAGTGTGTGTGCTATCAATGTGTGAAAGAGACACACAAGGGCCATGACGCAGTCTCAGTGGCAGATGAGAGGACAACACAACAGGTGTGTTTGAACATTTCCTAAGATGCCGAACTTATTCCTTAATTTGTTATTTAGATTTTGGGAAGTTCAAATATGTTTATGAACAGCTTGACTTACTGTTAGATAAATAAACCAAGATTAGAATTTACTTTTTATTCTCATACTTTTGATTGATTCTGATTTTTACATGTCAAAGACAGTATAGTTTTCCTGAATCTTCCTAAGGGTTATTAAAATATCTAGTTGTGGTTTGCACTCCTCAGCCTGTGATAACAGTTGTGTAATGTTTTCTGTGGTTCTGGAGGAGCTTCATCAAGTCTGAGAAAATAACCCTAATGATGTAATAATTCCTTCAATCTAAAAAAGTCTGTGTTATTATTTATGTATTCAGATTTGACTGTTATGATTCTCTCATGGAGTGTTGGCACAAATTGCAGCAGTCAGCCACCAAAGGTTTTGAAGTTAGTATTTGGGGCATTTTTTGCCTTTATTTCAATAGCCACAGTGAGAGAGATACAGGAAAGTTGGGGAGAGCAACAATAAGGCTTTTAAAATGCCTCATTTGCCTGTGTCACAGTCGCTGCTGCTGCTCCAACTGCTGGCCGTGTAGATTAACGGCCCAAATCAGCAAACCAAATGAATACATGATATCTAACTTCCTGTTGTTTTAACAACAAGAAAATGCAGCTTTTTTTTCACCTGCAACAACTAACAAAAGATAATAAATGCAATAATTTTGCCTCATGCCTCTCCACACCCTCACCTCTGCAATGGCGTAAAAGTCAGGATATCTTTACTAAGACTGCACCAAGTATTTTTTTTTCTCTCTCTCTCTTTCAGTCATTTGGAAGTGAAATTCTATATAAAACTTGCTGTATAAAAAAGACAGTAGGGTGGCTCTGTTTTTGAAAAATTCAGACACGACAGATCCCTAATTCATACATCTGGTGTGTAAAATGAAGAATAAGTCTTTTTTAGCCTGATGTAAAGGCTTCAGCATTTAAAATATTGAACACAAGGAGTGCAAAATGTGCCCTGGTCCTGCAGCCATATCTTGTGTGTCAAGAGTGTAGATTGATAGACCAAAGGCTTTGCACGGCAATCCAATCCCTTTGATTGTAAAATCAAAACTTTCCATCTTGAAAGTCAACCATGGAAAAAAAATATTCAACTGAGCAGCCTGAGGGACTGGGCTTTGTGATATTCCTCTTTTGTATTCTCTTAGAAAAAACTCCAAGAAACCTCTTTGAAGTCTGTGCAGAAATTGAAGGACGTTCAAAAGGAACTTAGATATATTATCAGATACATCAAGGTGAGTGTATTTTTAATCCAGGAACTTTAAATATGTTGTTGACATACTGTGTAGAATCAAAAGTCGTGCAAGTTGTGCATGATTCCTGGAGAACCAAAAAGTGAAAAGTTTATCCTCCATAGCACTCCACAGATGCAGCAGTGGAGGAGAGTGAGAGGGTTTTCTCCAGGCTGATTCGCTCCATAGAGAAACAAAGCTGTGAGGTGAAGGAGCTGATCCAAGTCCAGAAGAGAGCGGCTGTCAGTCAGGCTGAGGAGCTGCTGGAGAAGACGCAGAGGGAGATAGCTGCACTGAGGAGGACTGATGCTGAGCTGGAGAAGCTGTGTCGTACTGAGGATCACATCCATTTCCTTCAGGTGAGGAACAACAGCTGACTCAAGCATAGGCTTGTTTGAATATTTACAGATAGAAAGATCATCTTACATGTTTTTATTTCCTCAAAACTTGATTATTGCAATGGCCTCATCACACCAGTTTTTAACCTTTTGACACAGTCAGTCAAGTTTTAGGAGTGATTTAAAAAAATAAAAAAATAGATAAATCTTTTTGACTACACTTAAGACTCTTTGCTATGTTTCTGGGCCAGTATTTATTTAACTATAAACTATTATTTAATTTAAGATTTACACTAAGCAATGCACTTGAGAGTCAACTCAGGAGTGAGTGTTTAGAATAAAACACATTTATCTAGTGAGTTGCATACTTACAGTGAAGCCTAAGAGTGACCTTTAAGCAACTTCTCATAATCATCTGATCAGTTCATGATCAGAATTTGGTGGTCTAAGGTCACTGTGACCTCACAAAACTTTAACTGAGTAAATTTAATTGAATTAATTTCACCTAATTTTGAGTAGTGGAATGATATGCTGCAAATGATCTGGCTGATCTGGAGTTGAACCAGGGATTCACTGCTCAGGGCATTTGGCACATGTTGTATGAGCCCTAATCATTCTGCTATTTAGTCAGTAGGTCAGTCACTTCCATTTGACTGAATAATATTAATTTAATCAATTTCAATCAATTCAATTTAATTGACTTAATTTATTTTACTTTTACTTAGCCCACTTACTTACTTACATTATTTAACATAATTAATTTCACTCAACTTAATTTAAAAAGTAAATTTAAGTGAATTAGTTTCAGTTTAGTTTCAGTTTCCGACTTCAATATTATATCTGTTTCAATAGTGTTAGTCTTGTTGAAGTATTGTATGAAAAGGCTAGATGGATATTTGGGAGCCTGGTCTTAATCACTAACCATTGATTACGTCTGAGAGTCACATCTTTATAGACTCTTTGTTTTTCTACATTAAAGTTTTTTACACAGTAATATGATGATATGATGTTGTTGTGAAAGTTATGAGATACATTGAAATAATTAACAGTCTGATTTTGTCAAAGTGTAAGATTTCAGACATATTTATCAAATACCCTATCCCAGAAGTTCAGCACACTTGAACTAAATATATTATTATTCTGGTCCAGTTAATATATTATATTTGACTTTTAAGCTTTCACATTAGTTTTCAATTTGTTGCTTTTTTAATCATTTTGCAACTTAGTTTTTAAAAAGAACTCTACAAATAATAATTATAGTCATTATCTTTCACATTGCTTTTGCTGTGGGCCAGTTAAAGATAAGGTTGAAAAAAAGAGTAAATTAATCTAATATCCACGACACCTCATGGCAGATCCAGTTAATATGATTTCAAGCACAGTGTGAACATGACAGTGGTTTATCAGGCTTGTTGCATTTCCATTCAAATGCTGTCCTCTAATTTGCTTGTGTTGACTGTCACTGCAGAACAAGTCTCTTCATTTCCCTGCAAAAGCTGTGGAGATGCCCAGCACTGATGCACTTCAATATTTAATGTACAAAACCATGAGAGGTTCCCTGGCTGATCTGAAGGACAGTCTGGATGAAACACTCGAAAGAGAATTCAACAGAATCTCTGAAAAGGGTATGTGTCTCTTTCAACTGATTATCAGACTGATTATTAAGGACAATTATTCTATTTTTAGAAATATATATGATACATTATCATTTTCTCTGCATTTGTAGTCATTTCACTGAAGGAAACCAGCAATCAAAGTAAAAAAGACTCTGAAAAGACCAAAGGTATGTATGTTGATGTTTTTTTTGGAGTTAATTAAATTTAACAATGATTCTGACATGAGTTTAATGTCAGTAAACTATACTAATATCTATGACAGCAAAAGATGCCAACACACCATACAACTTAGAACCAAAGACAAGAGCTGATTTCCTACAATGTGAGTACAACTTTTTCATAAACCATATAAAAAGGCTAACACCAAGTCCCAGATTTATACCACAAACTGATTCTCAGGTTTTTTGTTTGCTATGTGTTCACACTAGAAAAGTGACATAGTAAAGTACACTGAGAATGCATACTTAATAAGGGCTGATATTTGAGTGTGCTATTGATGCACACTGTCCTCCCACAATGCAATTCCCTAAGGAAACTAAGGAAGTGAGTTCTGGTTGTTGAAAAAGATCCAAGATGAAACTCTTTGGAAAGCTAGTGCCATTCAAACTTCAGGGTTGCACGTAATGTATGATTTTGATTTTGTATATGCATTGCTATAACTGTGTACAATTAATATACATATAGATTTACTATATTGTATGCATTTCAAACACAGCAGCATGCTAACATTTGGTCATAGATGTATACTCTAGAGATAAATTTTTTTCACTTTTTAGGCCTCAGTATACTATGACATCTTTGTACCTTACTATACTATGACATTTTTTTGATGTTTTAAGGCTCAATATGCTGTGTCTTTTTTTCACTTTTTTGCCATACTATACTATGTCGGTTTTTCACTTTGTTGCGATACTATACTGTGTCGGTTTTATCACTTTTTTGCCATAATATACTATGTCATTTTTTTTTCACTTTTTAGGCCTCAGTATACTATGACATCTTTGTACCTTACTATACTATGACGTTTTTTGATGTTTTAAGGCTCAATATGCTGTGTCTTTTTTTCACTTTTTTTGCCATAGTATACTATGTTAGTTTTTCACTTTTTTGGCATACTATACTATGTCTTTTTCTTTCCCTTTTTAGGCCTCATTATATTATGACGTCTTTATACCTTACTATACTGTGATGTTTTTTGATGTTTTAAGGCTCAATATGCTATGTCGTTTTTTCACTTTTTTTGCCATAGTATACTATGTCGGTTTTTCACTTTTTTGCAATACTATACTATGTCGTTTTTTCACTTTTGAGGCCGAAGTATACCATGACATCTTTGTACCTTACTATACTATGATGTTTTTTGATGTTTTAAGGCTCAATATGCTATGTCGTTTTTTCACTTTTTTTGCCATAGTATACTATGTCGGTTTTTCACTTTTATTGCCATACTATACTATGTCTTTTTCTTTCCCTTTTTAGGCCTAAATATATTATGACGTCTTTATACCTTACTATACTGTGAAGTTTTTTGATGTTTTAAGGCTCAATATGCTATGTCGTTTTATCACTTTTTTTGCCATAGTTTACTATGTCGGTTTTTCACTTTTTTGCCATACTATACTATGTCGTTTTTTCACTTTTTAGGCCGAAGTATACTATGACGTCTTTGTACCTTACAATATTATGATGTTTTTGATATTTTTATCCCTAATTAAACTGTCGTTTTTTCACTTTTTTTGCCATACTATACTGTTTCTTTTTCTTTCACTTTTTAGGCCTCATTATATTATGACGTCTTTATACCTTACTATAATATGATGTTTTTGATGTTTTTATCCCTAATTAAACTATGTCGTTTTTTCACTTTTTTTTTTTGCTATACTATACTATGTCGTTTTTTTCACTTTTTTGCCATACTATACTATTTCATTTTATTGACTTTTTAGGCCTCAATATACTATGACGTCTTTCTACCTTGCTATACTGTGACGTTTTTTGATGTTTTAAGGCTCAATATGCTATGTCGTTTTTTCACTTTTTTGCCATAGTATACTATGTCGTTTTTTCACTTTCTTTGCCATACTATACTATTACGTTTTTTTTCACTTTTTAGGCCTCAGTATACTATGACATCTTTGTACCTTACTATACTATGATGTTTTTTGATGTTTTAAGGCTCAATATGCTATGTCATTTTTTCACTTTTTTTGCCATAGTATACTATGTTGTTTTTTTTCACTTTTTAGGCCTCAGTATACTATGACATCTTTGTACCTTACTATACTATGATGTTTTTTGATGTTTTAAGGCTCAATATGCTATGTCATTTTTTCACTTTTTTTGCCATAGTATACTATGTTGTTTTTTTTCACTTTTTAGGCCTCAGTATACTATGACATCTTTGTACCTTACTATACTATGATATTTTTTGATGTTTTTATGCCTTATTATACTACGCTGTTTTTTCACTTTTTTTGCCATACTATACTATGTCTTTTTCTTTCCCTTATTAGGCCTCATTATATTATGACATCTTTATACCTTACTATACTGTGACATTTTTTGATGTTGTAATGCTTAATATGTTATGTCTTTTTTTCACTTTTTTTGCCATACTATACTATATATTTTTCTTTCCCTTTTTAGGCCTAAGTATGGTATGACATCTTTATACCTTACTATACTATGATGTTTTTGATATTTTTATCCCTAATTAAACTATTTTTTCCCTTTTTTTTGCTTTACTATACTATGTCGTTTTTTCAGTTTTTTTGCCATACTATACTATTTCGTTTTATTGACTTGTTAGGCCTCAGTATACTATGACATCTTTGTACCTTACTATACTATGATGTTTTTTGATGTTTTAAGGATCAATATGCTATGTAATTTTTCACTTTTTTTGCCATACTATATTATGTCGGTTTTATCACTTTTTTGCCATACTATACTATATCGTTTTTTTTCACTTTTTAGGCCTCAGTATACTATGACATCTTTGTACCTTACTACACTATGATGTTTTTTTGATATTTTAAGGCTCAATATGCTATGTCGTTTTTTCACTTTTTTTGCCATACTATACTATTTCGTTTTATTGACTTGTTAGGCCTCAGTATACTCTGACATCTTTGTACCTTACTATACTATGATGTTTTTTGATGTATTTATGCCTTATTATACTATGCCATTTTTTCACTTTTTTTGCCATACTATACTATGTCTTTTTCTTTCCGTTTGCAGGCCTCATTATATTATGACGTCGTTATACCTTACTATACTGTGACGTTTTTTGATGTTTTAAGGCTCAATATGCTATGTCGGTTTTTCACTTTTTTGCCATACTATACTATGTCGGTTTTTCACTTTTTTGCTATACTATACTATATCGTTTTTTCACTTTTTAGGCCAAAGTATGCTATGACATCTTTATACCTTACTATATTATGATGTTTTTGATATTTTTATCCCTAATTAAACTGTCATTTTTTCACTTTTTTTTTTGCTATACTATACTATGTCGTTTTTTTCACTTTTTTTGCCATACTATACTATTTCATTTTATTGACTTTTTAGGCCTCAATATACTATGACATCTTTCTACCTTACTATACTGTGACGTTTTTTGATGTTTTAAGGCTCAATATGCTATGTCGGTTTTTCACTTTTTTTTGCGATACTATACTATGTTGTTTTTTTTTCACTTTTTAGGCCTCCGTATACTATGACATCTTTGTACGGTACCATACTATGACATTATTTGATGTTTTAAGGCTCAATATGCTATGGTGTTTTCTCACTTTTTTCCCATAGTATACTATGTCGGTTTTTCCCTTTTATGCCATACTCTACTATGTCGTTTTTTTCACTTTTTAGGCCTCCGTATACTATGACATCTTTGTACGGTACCATACTATGACATTATTTGATGTTTTAAGGCTCAATATGCTATGGTGTTTTTTCACTTTTTTCCCATAGTATACTATGTCGGTTTTTCACTTTTATGCCATACTATACTATGTCGTTTTTTTCACTTTTTAGGCCTCAGTATACTATGACATCTTTGTACGGTACCATACTATGACATTTTTTGATGTTTTAAGGCTCAACATGCTATGTCGTTTTTTCACTTTTTTTGCAATAGTATACTATGTCGGTTTTTCACTTTTTTGCCATACGTTACTATTTCATTTTATTGACTATTTAGGCCTCAATATACTATGACGTCTTTCTACCTTACTATACTGTGACGTTTTTTGATGTTTTAAGGCTCAATATGCTATGTCGTTTTTTCACTTTTTTTGCCATAGTATACTATGTCGGTTTTTCACTTTTTTGCCATACGTTACTATTTCATTTTATTGACTATTTAGGCCTCAATATACTATGACGTCTTTCTACCTTACTATACTGTGACGTTTTTTGATGTTTTAAGGCTCAATATGCTATGTCGTTTTTTCACTTTTTTTGCCATAGTATACTATGTCGGTTTTTCACTTTTTTGCCATACTATACTATGTCGTTTTTTTCACTTTTTAGGCCTCAGTATACTATGACATCTTTGTACCTTATTATACTATGACGTTTTTTTATGTTTTAAGGCTCAATATGCTATGGTGTTTTTTCACTTTTTTTCCCATAGTATACTATGTCGGTTTTTTACTTTTTTGCCATACCATACTATGTCGTTTTTTTCACTTTTTAGGCCTCAGTATACTATGACATCTTTGTACCGTACCATACTATGACGTTTTTTGATGTTTTAAGGCTCAACATGCTATGTCGTTTTTTCTCTTTTTTTGCAATAGTATACTATGTCGGTTTTTCACTTTTTTGCCATACGTTACTATTTCATTTTATTGACTATTTAGGCCTCAATATACTATGACGTCTTTCTACCTTACTATACTGTGACGTTTTTTGATGTTTTAAGGCTCAATATGCTATGTCGTTTTTTCACTTTTTTTGCCATAGTATACTATGTCGGTTTTTCACTTTTTTGCCATACTATACTATGTCGTTTTTTTTCACTTTTTAGGCCTCAGTATACTATGACATCTTTGTACCTTATTATACTATGACGTTTTTTTATGTTTTAAGGCTCAATATGCTATGGTGTTTTTTCACTTTTTTTTTGCTATACTATACTATGTCGTTATTTTCACTTTTTTTGCCATACTATACTATTTCATTTTATTGACTTTTTAGGCCTCAATATACTATGACATCTTTGTACCTTACTATACTGTGACGTTTTTTGATGTTTTAAGGCTCAATATGCTATGTCGTTTTTTCACTTTTTTTGCCATACTATACTGTGTC